AGCTCCTTGAGGGACTTGCTGGCGGAGGCCTCGCTGCCGACCTGGAAGAACTGGATGCCGGCCTGGTACAGGGGGGCGTCCATGTCGTCGAGCTTCCTGGCGGCCTGCACGATGACGCTCTCCGGGTCGTCTGTGGGGACTCCGTCGGTGATGACGATGATGTTGATGGGCTTCACGGACTCCGCGTCCCCAGACGCATCGAGCTTGGCAAGGTAGGGCTTCAGGATGCTCCTCAAACGCCCGCCCGTGGGGGTGGATCCGGAGGGGCGGGTGCCGTTGAAGATCTTGGTGACGGTGTCCGGGTTGGAGATGTTGTAGTAGCCTCCGTCGGCCTTGCCCTCGCTGGCGTCTCCCGTGTTGTTGGACCTGTGGTTGATGAAGTAGAGGTCGATGCCGTCCTTGTCCCGCTTGGTGCAGATGGGGACGATGTTCTTGAGAACCTGTCGGACCTGCTCCCACCTTGAACCCGTCATGGAAGACGAGTCGTCGATGAGGAAGATTGTATCGAAGGAGGTGAGAAAAGCATACGGGTCATCGTCATTGGTGACCATGTCCCTGCTGATCCCGCTCGCCTTGCTTGAGGCTGCAGAAGGGGCGCGAGGGACGTTGAGAGCGGAAGATGCCTGAGCGACAGGTGCAGCATTCTGGGTGTATGCTGGAGGCGGGTCTGAAGCTATTCCCGGAGATCAAAGTTAGGAAAAGGCGGGCTGAGAGAGCAAAGGTATCACAAATCCAAATCCAGGGGAATACTTACGAGTATCCTGAGAATACTGGAAGAAGGGGTTGTTGGAGCTCTTTTTCGAGAACTTTCCCTTGATGGATCCGAAAAACGACATCTTTGGGGTGGGTTGGGGAATCCTAAAGGGATTGTTGCTCTGCTATCGACACTCGTAAGGTGGTGTTGCTGGGGGAGTAAGCACTTGGTAGTGGCATTGCGAGCGAGAATAGCTGGGGTAGATCAAGCGGTCCTTTATATACTTGCCTTGGGCTTTCATCGCACAGCCTCGCAGATGAGCTAAGCCCTGTAGGTCCCCGCTTGCGTTACGTGGTACTTTCCACACCGCGTGTTTGATAGCACTTCTAGTTCGCCGTGTGACTATCACCAAGGGCGTGAATATATAGCTGCTTGATCCTGGCTCTTTCCCTTTTTGTGACACTACTTTTTTCAATGGGAGTTCGCGCACACTCCCACGCATACTATAATATACCACATGCTACAGCTTATCATGGCCAATTCAGCTTAATAAAGGACCTCGTTTGTAAACTCAAAATCGAAGCTAATGTTGAGGACCAATTTGGTGCGACCCCAATACTCTTTGCCATAGGTGGACAATATCAGAGTATTGCAGGAAAAATCATAGAGAAGTTGATAGAATCAGGAGCCAATCCTAACCACGACATCATGGGTAGGAGCTACGCCGACTATGCTAAATCTATGGGAAAGAATGAACTGGCAACTCTCATAAAGCTCATGACCGACAACGCCATTGTCACCATCGAAGCCTCGCAAGGAGAAGAAAAATCACCCTTTCGGCTGACCGTGATTGGTCTTGGCCGTGGACACGGTGGCCGTGAGCCGAAGCCCCAACCTATTTGGTCGCTTCAATGAATATAGTGTATCCTGTGACTGCAAATATCAACGTGGACGTCGACCCCTCTTCTAGGAGGCCGGTTGAAGCCTAAGATAACCAATAGAGTAGGCAGTATGACTGCTCCCTGAGTCTATGTAAATACCTAACAACAGATGCGAGGCCAATTCTAGTTATAGTAAAGGTATTGTTTTGGAGCTTAGCGATGTATTGCTTTAGCTACCTTGAATAACCTCCAACAAATCCTCTACCTCCCTCCGAAGGCGAAGCATTGCTATATCCCTTACTGTCAAGCTCTCTGGATGCTGAGATTTTTGGTATGCGACCCAGATCTACGAATCAATAACATTGAAACTGAGCCGGTTTCAATATAAGGCTTCAAATCAACAATTTTCAGGTCTGGGCACTCGACTCTCGCTTGCTCTGCGGGCGTAACTATAGCGACTCGGTTTGGAGGGGCGTGTTGGTATGCATGCCCTCCGACGCACCGCCTGGACAACCCCGGTTTTTCCTTGTCTCCCTAAAATTATGTACTGGCTCCCTTTTACTTTACCGTCTAACCGTCAATGCCGTACTTTCTGTCTGCATTTGTGCCTCGTTACATGCTTCGGGATCAGTAGATAGAGTAGGCAGATGTATAGAGTCAAACTAAGAACTACGAGTCGCTGTGGGTCTTAGACTGGCCCGAATATGAACTACGAGGTCCCCCAACCTTGCTCAGGCTACGTGAACCCGGAATAAGAACCTAGCTGGACTTTCAGACGGTTCCCTGCGGTGGCCTTTGCGTATACTAAGATGGCGGTCACCGAACTAGGGAAGAAAAATGTGTTGGAAAGCTAGAGATAGATGAAAGCGGTTGTCGTTATCGTCATTCTCAGGTGCGCTTCATTGCGCTTAGGAAGCGTCCGTAAACCATTCAATTTAGCTTTGCTTGATAGAGTCATAGTCGGGATTATGTATCTTGCTCCGTATTTGACCATGCGAATATAGGAAATATAAAGTCGATAACGGGAGCTATGACGGCGCGGGAGCCAGGACCTGAACGTCGGTTTGGAGGGCGTCTAGAACAGAAGGGTGGTTTTACCCCCAATCAAGGTCAAGGATGATAACGGGTCCTAGATTGTATTAAGCACAACAGCTGGATCCGTGAAATTGACCGAAGAAGCCGGCGATGCTGAGTGCCACAAGGGCATCCGTGAGGTCTGGGTCCCATCCCAGTTGACGGGATTGGGAAAGAGCTTTGGTTAAGGCGAAGTTCCCAGTAGAGGCCGCGTAGTTCAGCGAGCTGAAATCCACCGCGACGTATTCAAACCCCTTAAACACTAGTCCAGTGGTGTCTTGCGTGAAGCAGGATGTAGGATAGATCCCTGAAGACGTGTATGGTGTGATTCTTCTCGTTGTATTTCTCGAGTATGTTGAGCGTCAGATCAAATTGTGCAAGAAGAGAAGTGATTTGGAGTGAATTGATATAGAAACAAGATAATGCAGATTTGTTCTTGCATCAATAGCATGGCCCATTGCTACCTTGAGCTTGCACGTTCATACACGTATAGCAATCCTAGGAAACAGATTAGTATAAGAAACCTTTAGAGGAAGGAGATATCTAACCATAGTCGGCGGTATGTAGTGGTATGAAAGATAAAGACGGATGTGCCTGCGGCTTACTGGCCCGAAGTAGGAGAAGGCGATACCTCATATAGTTTTCTTAGGGTGGCAGCTTCCAGCTAAAATTCTGGCGCGAATGTGTATAGAGTAACACGACTTTCTCGGGCCATATGATTTGACCCGACACGAAGATACGGTCCGCCGGTACCGCCACCTGAGCACAGTCTGCTCAAGGCGGAACGACGCCTTGTCCGCTGGGACCCCGATGCCAGCTTGCATGATTTCAATGAGTTCACAAATGAACAGGTGGCATTCGCACGCCCAATCGCCATTAAGTACACCGAGAATAATCCTGAGCATTCTCAAGATGTGCTAAACAAGTTCTCTCGAGCGTTTGACCGATCCACTTACCACAACTACGATAAATGGCGCCGAAACACCGCACAAGTCCTACAAAAGTGCGCCGAAAGATTCAAGCAGAGCGGGAATCCGTAGGACTTTGATATCATCTACCTAAGTACGTGTATACAGGCTCGGCCACCTGGATAAGAGCTACCTTACGACAGCGAAAACATCCATCAACAAAGTAGGTTTCAACAATCTCGATCTTCAACTCGCCCTTCCCTCCCACCGCAATCGAGGAGCTTTCCCCTCTTCAACGTCGGTGCTGCATCTCAAGTCTAAGCACGCAGGGGCAGACGAAGACGAGAACTACCGCCAGGTTATCGCCGTGACCTGCCAAGACGCGAATGCAACAAGGGCCCAGACGCTATGGTCACGGACGCTACCTGATCATGGAGGACACCAGTGTCACAATTACGACCATGGAAGAAGGCAGAGAACAGGCCTCCGCCTCCACACTCGATAGTCAGGACTTGATGGACGCGGTTCAGATGCTGTGCAAATGGTGTCCAGGCTACTGTCCGATCAAGAGCCTCTCCAGGAAGATGAGGTCTTTCCTTGCCCTCATTCGCATTGTCGAGTCCCAAACCGGTCTACCTTCACAAAATCCCCCTCGTCGTCTTTCTGCGCAAGGCAATATCGAAGTTTACCCTGTCTCTATTATCGCCATCGATAGCACCGAAGCGCAGCAGCGGCTGCTCGCTCTGGGGAAGGGCAGGATGTCGGATGCCGACGTAGCGGCGTTTCGCGGGAAGTATTAGGAGGGAGGTCAAGCGGTGGTAGGACAGGTATTAAAAAGGCACAAATGGCTATAGATAAGTTTGCTTCATCAAAATATTAGCGGCAAAGCCCGACGCGTCCAATGGCAGCAAAGCCGTTGGCATCGCAAATCTTAGTCGTGTTGAGAATGACAAGTTAAAATTTTGGGTTTATTTGGATGAGATGGTGTCAGTGGTTAATCATTACGCCGCAGTTTAGCCGGTGGTCCAGGTAAAAGAACCCGATCCGCCAATGTGATATTCGACAGTGATGCGCCATGTCGAAGGTGAAGTGTCGTTGGCAGCTATCTGCTTTAGTCAGCCATCAACTCTCATCAACGAGGAACAGGGGCGCCTAGACTAGGTTTGAAGCTCCATTGGCCGTAAACAGCTTTCTTGTGATTGAGGGAACTAGGGCCTTGAGGCGTTTTAGCTCTCTTCGTAGCTGATGGCAGGAACCACAATCTATTCTGCGCTATCATTAGCTAATAGAAGCTGGGCTGGAGGCGCGCACCGCGGATCGCCTATCGCCCGATTGGCCCGGGCACCAGAGCAAAACAAAGATTTTCCCAATTCGACGTAAACAATGCACGACTGGCTGTGTGTGTACTTTCTTATGTCGCCGATTTCACCCGACTAGAAACTCATCAGTTGAAACGCTACCAATCAAAGACGGAGTCGGATCTCCTTATTGTGAGGCAAGGCGATCGTGAAGCGCTTGCCTTCAGTGCTTGCCGAGTTTGGCCAGAAGAATGATGCGGTAAATGAGTTAAGTTGTGCTGGCTGAAGGAGAAACAGTCTCAAGGATTGATATCCGACCCCGTAGGATATCGCCGCACATTCCTAGACAGCAAAGGAAATCAAGGAACGAAAAGATGGTTAGCTTATATTTGCTTTACTTCTGGTAAGTTCTGAAACCAACAATTACAGGTAAGTAAAACGGAAGCTTTCGGCTGCCCTTAATTCGAATGATATAGGTATTTAGAAGAACGAAGTATGTATACCTTGACGAATTCACACTCAATATCGACAACGTTTTCAAGAAAGCTTCAGCAACTTTGTTTCTCCTTTCTGTTGAAGGTAGCTAGTAAGGCAAACTGCTATACGTTTTCTTAAGTTTAACTTGTGTTTTTTTGGTAGTAAAAAGAATTCTCGTTATAACCCTGCTCGTCTAACTATCCAACATATCTTCCTCATCATCTAATAGATATAAATGCTGTAATAAACTCCATGCAGTATGACCAAACTTTGCAACAACTAGGTCTTCTGCCCTCGCTAGAAGCGATTCATGCAGGTCCTCAATCGTTGCATAGCTATTACTCCATATAATTTCAGCCTGTAGAATCCCATTACTCTTGAGAATTTAAATAATCTTGCAGAAGGAATAGTGGCCGTATGGTTGATAAACAGCCTGCTTTGAGCTATTATAATGCTGGTTAAGGCAAGCTTGAAATTGATCTTCGCCATATATTTTGATTATCTGATCTTTCATCCTGTGTATAAGAGGCCCAATAAAATTGTGTATTGGGATAATGCTTGATGACCACTTGATGAGAAATACTATCCGGCCATTTAATTCAATAGCATCAACGATATCGTCAATACTATATTCAGTCTCCGATGGACAACAGGCAAAAAAGGAACCGTCCATGCCTAAGATATTGTTAAGTTAATGAATAACATAGAAAAGAACTAAAAGTACCTGTGACATCAATAGTTTGCCCCAGCGGTTGAGTGGCTTCGGTATAAAAGGGCTGAACGGACATGGTAAGGTCGGGTAATATAGATCTGAATCTTATGAGTATGTAGAGTATTATGTATTGATATTGTTCGGGAGATAGGAACTACAGTGTACTGATACAGTATATTCAAATAGGACTTCTTTCTTCTGAAATCCCAGTTATTGGTATATAATACCACACTAAGTAGGTATGAACACTCGGTAATGATCCACCTAGCTAGCTTGGATATGCTTACGACCGCCGGCCACCTGGCCCCAAAACTGGGATCAGCCTCTTAGTCCCAGTTTTGGGATACCCTTATCTGGTCCCAAAACCGGGATCACATAATCCCCAAACTGGAATCAACTTGATCTATTCCTGAAACTGGGATCATTTTCATTCAATCCTAAAAAAACTAAGTTGACTTCGCCTAGAGAGAAAAAAGCATCACATAGGGGAAAGTTGATAATCAGACTTTTTAGTTCGAGATGAGTACCAAGCGACACCCCATCGCTATCGTCAACGTTCTTCTTTGTTTGCGCTGTGCGCGTTCTGTTGAGGCCACTTCTACAGATGATGTTAGGTCTTTGGGCATGCCGAGAATCGGACGCAATCTATACTACTACGAGAAACAGTCGGCTTTAGAGAGAGTATGTAACTGTTTCATTTTGATACAGTCATTAGAAGCAACTAACAATTGTTGAGCTATGGTGAAATCACCAGAATCAATGCCCTACCATGAAGCCTAGCCTGCTTCTTCAATATCGCTAAGCGCCTCTGGGTCTATATTCTCCCGGATACCCCGGAACACCATAGATACCCCCTATAATCCATAAAATACCTATATTTTATCAGCGAAACTTATTCCGTGTGATAATGAATATTTTCTACAGTTAATAAAAGCACGAGAGCATGACTTGGTGGGAAACACGGTGCCGGCGGAGATTAAGATTGCCCAGGCTGAGCTAAGGCTCGAGCAGTTAAGCGAGGAGACAATTATGGAAGCAGAATCATGGAGCTGGCTGGGAGAAGTCTAAAACAAGGCATTTGGTTCGATTCAAAGAGGAAAGAGAAGTGAAAAAAGAAGGAATGGCGCCGGCTCACCCGCGTACGGTTTCACATTACTGTCACGTTTCAGAGTCGAACAGACACGCGATTCGGTTTAGCGCGAAGCTTATACGAAGTCACGTCAAAATCACGTGAAAATGCCTGCTTGGGGTCACACGGTCACGTGCGAACTCACCCCGCGCGTTAGAGCGACAGGAGCACTCCCCACGCTCCAAGATATGCATATGTACACATTCATTTCACTATCTAGAAATTAGACAATTATCAATACAATATAATCGCTAACACTTCATTGAAACTAACTCCTCAGTGTTCGCATATCAGTAGTGGCTCGCACAGTACCAAGACAACCTGATCATCCCACTCAGAACATTTCTGATTGGCTACATCCCTGCCCTACCCTAGACCTCATTCAGTGTAAGTCGCCCGGTTTTGTTCGGAAGAGAAAGAGAATAGAGTTTAACAACAATGAAGCTGCCAGGGCTTGACAACTCAACACAGTGAATACGAAAGTTTAAAAGAGCCTTTTGCTCAACTTCTCGATATCCTCTCCCGATGGGTTCTGTTGCGGCTGCGCTGCTACGGACAAGTCATACGAGGCTTCTGGTTGCACAATACTCTCAAGCCACGCGCCGCGCGCTCTCTGTGCTTTGTAGCTCTCTGTATCCGTGGCCTTTTGGAGCGTATTGGCTTGGCCCCTTTGAAGGAACCTGATTGTTATGCTGTGGAGGGATTTTTCCCCACCGTTGAACTCAAGGTCTGTCTCCTCGGAAAGTTCGAGCCTGGCCTTTGCTTTGAACTTAGCCTCTTCCAACTGGCGTTCTTCTCCGGCAGCGAGTGCCTCGTCGAATAATCCGAATGTATCATCAGTTTGCATTCCGATAATCCCGAAGCCGAGCGCATCACTTCCTGCGATCAGGGGGCACGGGTCAAAGCTGGAAGTCACCATTTTCATGCGCGCTGTGAAGTGCTTCTGGTATGTGGTATACCAATGCACACCAGACTCGGCGATCCCATACAGCGGCTTTATGATCTTCATGACTGTCCCTCGCGGGTGGCTTTGCTCGAGGTCTTTTGGGAGCGCCGCGTAAATCGCACGTTGCAGCGTTGGATCGTTGGTGACTGCGTGAGAGCTGTCTTCTTGCCAGCACCATTATATCCTCGCACAACCAGTCGGGATTTCTCGTACGGATGTGTGTTCTGGCCCTTCACCTCGCTGACAATGCCTGCTTCGAATAGTTGACCGCTTTCAACATCACGGTCAAACCATACGAACTCGAACATACCTGCTTTGACGTGTTGGTCAATTTCGGCTGTTGTGGAGGTCTCAAACGGAGCGCCCGGGGTTGCGATAACTCCTTCCTTCCGAGGTTTCTTGGCTAGCTCAAGGGCATCTTGCTCCCTGCGTGTCACATAGCTAGCGTACAGTCCAACTGGTCGCGCTATATATTGTACATACACCTTCGGTTTGTGCTTTGAGCCTCTCGATCGTCCCCTTCCTCGTGGTGGTTCGCTTGTTGCAGGTGGCGAGTGGGGTCTTTCGGATGTGTTGCCGGGCTGGTGCTCTCTTGGGCTGGGTTTTCAGTCTGCTCATCTCCATGATACGGTTTCACATACGTGGACCGGGAGGTCTTTGGTCCGTCGTGCGTTTCAATTGTGCTATCGTGAGAGTTGTTCGATAATAGCCCGTACGGCCTAAGCCACCCCTTCTTCTCTCTCCACACCATGACCTCGCTTAGGAGTAGAAGTTCAAGGAGTTCGGCTGGGTTAGGACCGATGCGTGTGGCCAGTGCGAGCACGGTTCTCTCTTTGGCGTACAGTTCCCTCAGCGCTTTCATCGAGGTTAACTGCTTGTGCTCTTTGAACTGTGGATTGTAACGGGGGCGAGGAGGCAGCAACTCTCGGGTACGCTCCAAACACGAGGAGCGTTGGTACAAGGCTACTGGGCCCTGCCGTGTCACTGACTGCTTTGACTGCCACTGGCAATATCGATTCCTTCGAGGTCATCTCCTTGAGTTCCTTGTGCAAGATATCGAACGCGTGTTGCAGCGGGCTCTCGATCTTACCAATTGACCAATGGGCCTCGATTGGTATTTGCTTGCACTCAGAACCAACGATCCTAGCATTTGCATAAAATCGGTCACTTGCGAATCGGGTCCCCACATCGTGCACAATACGGTCTGGCGGTCCCATATATGTATCCAGCCAGATCCT